TCGCTTGACAGCTCAGTTTTTAGTATCGCCCCCATATTAGTGCTTAACATAAATTAGGGTTTAATAAAATAATAGAATATAACATTAAATATCAATTGCATAGGAAATGAAAATAAAATTATTAAAATTGATGAATCAAAAATAGATAAAAGAAATTCCAATAAAGGCAAATCTGTTGGTGTTGTATGAATTTTCGGGCTTGTTAAAGAGGAAACAATAAATAATTTTATTATTACAAGTTAATAATCCAACGAACAGAATCTTAAGATTTCCTTTAGGTAGAAGTGTAGTACCAAATTAAATAATATATAACGATTGTTGAAAATATTACTCCAATTTAGATAAGATTGGTATTAAGTATTCTACAATAAATCATTCTAAGTATTTTTAAGACACAGGTACAGCTGTTCACACCAATACTACAAGAGGATGCAAGTTTGATCTGAAAGAAGAAATAACGTATAGATGCAGAACTAGAAATCTTATTAATCCTTGCTTAGTCCGATTATTGTTGAAAAACAATTCCAAATCTAATCATTTAAATTGCTATTTTAGGCTTTTATTGAATCAAAACATAAAAAATAAATTTTTATTAAATATTTTTACTAATTTATATTTTCTAGTATAAACATTTAAGATAACAAATAAAAATTTAGGACCTACTTTTTTGGTCAATCTATGCTCAAAACCCCACTTTTGAAATTTTGATAAATTAATGCAATATAAAATCAATTAAAAATTTAAAATTATTAAATGCTTTTTTTAGTAATAAAAGTGTATCATTGTCATCATCGATTCAATTTTTTCTTTTCGTTTTATTTTTTATTCAGATCTCGTAAATAATTTAGATCTAGATAACTTTTGACTTTTACAAATTCCGCAACCTGTAAAAGTCAACCATTATCAGGTAAAAGTGTTGTCGTTAAAAGATTTGTTATTAAAAAACATTTATTTATTCCTGTCAAATATCTCTCATATATCAACACTGAGATATTTGACTTGTAATTACACTTCCAGTAAAAAGATACTAGAATTTTTACTAGAAACACATTTACATGAATTTTTAAAATTGAAAATTAATAAATAGCAATAAGAAAAATGTGATGGTGTCTTGCCCTGAAGGGTAGCTACCAAACTTGTAATACTTTTCAATAAAACTATTTATTACATAATGATGTCTAAGGTCAATAAGCTTTCTAATTTTCTTCAGCATCTTTTTATAATTATTTTTCTTTAAATAGTAATAAATAAAACATTGCTTCATTCCAAAACATTAATTCAGACCATAAGTTTTGTTTTGGAAATCCCAAAACAATCATTTGTCATGTTTGTGGCATGACATATGGTTTTAAAAAAATTTTTTGCAATTAATTTGTGTGCAAGTTATATACATAATTGTAAATTAAAATCAAGTCAATAATATAAAAATAAGTCATTTAATCTTTATTCATCGTAAGATAACTTCTAAACAGTTCACTAATAACGGTTTCTGCGTCTGCTGTATAACCGACAAAACAATTACTATAAAAAAAGAATTTGTCATTTTTAAGTACAAATTTATTAAAAGCATACAAAACGTAAAAAATTATATCTACTAAGTTATGTAACGGGTCCACTTTGAAAAAAAACTTTGAAAATAAACTGTACTGTTTTTTGGAACAATTCAAAAAAACATTTTTTTTATCAGAAAAGGTAAAAATATCGCACAATTTTTGAATAAATTCAAATTTTTTAAATTTTACAATGCCTTCTTTACCTAAATTTTCTATTTCTTGACATGCAGCTTCAACTATTAAATATTTGAAAACTAAAAAAAGTGGTGAGTTTTTTGGAAAGTCAAAATTCATTAGTTCACTAACAAAAATAGAACTTGCCAAATCAAGCTTCGCTCTATCGCACAAAGTAATTGATCCTTCTAAAATACATTTTAAATCTTCGCGTTTGTGCAATCCTAGCAAGAATAATATTACAGTTATTATTGAACCGTACAAAGGATTTTCATTATTTACTATATTGGTTAGTAAGAATAAGAAGGCAGCATTGTCAGATCGTATTATTTCATATAAAAATGTAATCGAATGAACAGAATTGACTTTCAGTTTCTCGATGGTCTCTAGAAAACTAAATATTTCTGTCCATGCTCCTCTTCTTCTATTACTATTTTTTATGACAAAATCATTTTTATTATCAAAAAATTCAAAACATGTTTCTGTAAGCTTCATTGCTCTCAACGGCTTCCTACTGATAGTTAAGGTGACAGAATGTTTATTGATTGATATAAAACTATTAAAACCCCGAAATTGTTTTAAATGGTAAATATAATTAAATAAAAAGCGGTATAGAGACGATTGTAAGACAAAATCGCTTGTAAACTTTTTATCCGTAAAAAATATTGACTTATGATCCACTAAAAAATCACAAACAATTTTGTGAATAAAACTTTCTTGATTTACCGGTAAAATGTATATATTCATAATATTTCTATCATATTTATGGAATTGTATAGATAGTCCATCTGGGCAGAGTATTAAGCCTACACAGTTAGATTCTCTATACATTCTGGGCCCATTCAGTATATAATATCCTGTAATAACTTTCTCATAACCTTTACTAAAGACTGCTTCTACATCTTTGGGTGTAATTGTAGAAGTTGCCAATGACGTATTAACTATTAAAGTTTTTTTGGACAGACGACCTTTAAATCCTACTAATTTTTCTTGCAAATTATATAGAGTTGTATTTCTGGCTTTAATGGCGATCAATTCTGTTTTAAGTTCGACTTGAAATTCAAAAAATTTAATAAAAATATAATCTTTAGTAATAATGACAACATGAATAGCTTCTTCAGAAGTGTTAATTGAAAAATCCGGTATGCTGGTATAATTTATAACTTCATTATAGACTTTGTCAATAACCTCCTCCTGTATTGACGCAAAAGCAGTAAAAAAGTATAAAATAATTTTCATCAAGTTAATTGGAGGGGCTTAATAAATTTTTATAAAAATACAGTTATTTAATAAAAAATTTATAAATTATTAACATTTCAAAATTGTGCTTATGTCTTTCAACAAACACTGTTAATATTTTTATAGCAATAAATCAAAATTACAACTTATTTAATTTATTCTTTAAAACAAGAGATTTTTGTCTTGATTTTAATATAGAATATTTGTTTTACTATTGATTTTCAATAAAATACAACTATATGTAAAGTTAAAAGAGTCAAAATTAAAGCCTTTAGTGTTTTTAGATTTGTAAGGAAAAGCATTTTTTTCTTTTGCTCCAATTTTAAAAATTTTGTTTAAAAATGCTTAATTGATAAATTAAATAATTTAATGCCTTTAGTAGCAAAAAAATTATTTGTATCGTAGCTTAAGTCACATACATTTAAATTTTAAACTGCAATCATAATTTTTAAATTTAAAGTAAATTTGTAATATTTCAACATAAATTATTAAAAAAATTTAATTAAATACCAATAAAGTAAAATATTTGAAGAAATCTTGATAGAAATATATTATATCTAACAAATAATGTTAATAAACCTGCTTTTTTGCATAATTAACTAACTTAAAATGTACTATTTTATTTATGATGCAATGAGCATACAAATATTAAAAACACTACTTATTGTACCGATAATTTATTTATAAGCTATTCTTAGAGTTTACTATCATATGCATAATATCTATGATAAACCAGGCTTTTTTCCCAGATATAAATATTAATCTGAAAAAACAATGATAAATAAAATAATCGCTTTATTTCGCCCTTGTGGTGTAAAAAATTTTAAATAACAAGTTTATTTACCAAATATTAATTTGTGATTTAACATGATGACAGTCATGTTGACCCAACTTACATTTTATGTTATAAAAAAAATAATCTTAAACTAAAAATTTGTGTCAGCAAGTACTGTAAATAACTGTTGTTACCTAAAATGTGCTAACCAGAACACATTAGTTTATTTAAAAATGTAAATATTTATTTAAACACGCCAAATACCTTAAGCCAAGCAACACATTGATATTTGACATGTGTATTACTGTTCCAACATAACAATTATAAAAAATTAAATTTATTTTTTAAAGTAGTTTTTATTGATAAATCTTATATAAAAGATAAAAAAGGCGTTTTTAATTTATCAATTTTATTTGTATACGTAATATTATATAGCTTTAATAAATATTTTTTAGTGTGAGCAACTAAATGTTTACAAACATTGTATAAATTTTATTGTTTGTATTTTTTTGTTTAACATTACAAATAATATATTTAATATCATCTTTTCATATATTTTTTTATATTTTTTCTAAAACTTTATATAACAAATTTACAAATAAATCAAAAAAATATTTTTTAGCGCTAAGTTGACACAAGTCAGATTAGAGAAAATGTCATTGTAATTTAAAAATAAAAAAATGTTTTAATTTTATTTCTATACCGTGTTGTTAAAAGATAATTTTTTATATTTTTATATGTAACATTTTTATAGTTTAAAATATTTTACAGTTAATTTAACAACTTTTTAAATTTTTTTATTCCTTTACCCCAAAAAATAATGAGAGAATTGATAGAAGAAACTGAGTATAAGTCTGAAACAACATCTTTTGAAGAACTTAAAAAAGCAGGAATATCTTTAGCTGATATTAATAAGCTTGTAGAAGCCGGCTATAATACTGTTGAGGCATTGGCATATGCTCCTAAAAAACAATTGCTTACTATTAAAGGATTTTCTGATATTAAAGTAGATAAGCTTATTAAAGAGGCAGCCAAGTTCGTACCAATGGGGTTTACTACTGCATCTGCTTATCATGAAAAAAGAAAGGATCTTGTTTATTTGACAACTGGTTCTTCTGAACTTGATAAACTTTTAAATGGCGGATTTGAGTCTGGTTCTATTACTGAAGTCTTTGGCGAATTTCGTACTGGTAAAACTCAGTTATGCCATACAGTGGCAGTGACTTGTCAGCTACCACCTGAACAAGGGGGTGCTAGTGGTAAAGCTATGTATATCGATACAGAGGGTACATTTAGATCCGAAAGAATTTTCCCAATCGCAGAGAGATATGGTTTAAATCCAGAAGATGTGCTAGAGAATATTTCATATGCAAGAGCTTATAATTCTGATCATCAATCACAGCTACTTGTTCAAGCATCAGCACTTATGTCTTCTTCTAAATATTCAGTTTTAATTATTGATTCTGCTACTGCGCTTTACAGAACAGATTTTAGCGGAAGAGGTGAGTTGGGTGCGAGACAGATTAGTTTGGCACGATATCTTAGGGACTTAGTAAATTTGGCCGAAACATATCAAGTGGCTGTTATTATTACAAATCAAGTAGTATCTAATCCAGATGGTGCTATGAGTATGTTTGCAGGAGATGTTAAAAAACCAATAGGAGGAAATATTATGGCACATGCGAGCACAACACGGCTGTCTTTAAGAAAAGGAAGAGGATCTACAAGAATATGTAAAATCTATGATTCACCACTACTTCCAGAATCTGAAGCAATGTTTAGTATTACAGAAGCGGGTATTAAAGATCCAGAAGATTAATTTACTTATTAACGGAAAATTAATATTTTAATAAACATATCTTCTTATTATTTTTTTTATTTTACCCATTTATGCCACAAAATAATTTTGTAGAACAACATATAAAAAAATATGGTAGACAACTTGATTACGAAGTTAAAAAATTAAAAAAAGAAGCGAGAGCTGATGCTATTTTAGGACGAAAAATAAAAAAACTGCATGGCATTAAAGCTAAACTTTTTACTAAAAAAAGACGAAATGAAAAGATTCAACTTAAAAAAAATCTTAATATTAAAGAAAATAAAGACAAAAATATCATCACTAAAGATGAAAGTAATCCCCTTCCACATTTCTTACTTGATAGAGAACTACAACAACAAGGAAAAGAACTTAATAATAAAATTAAACAACAGAGACAAGATAGAGCAGCAAAATATTCAGTACCCATTTCAGAAGTAAAAGGGCTTACTGAATCCGAGGTATTTGGTGTTGTAGCATCTGGAAAGCGTAAGTCTAAGCATTGGAAAAGGATGGTTACCAAGCCATGTTTTGTTGGAAATGATTTTACTAGAAAACCGCCTAAATATGAAAGATTTATTAGACCTATGGCACTAAGATTTAAGAAAGCACATGTGTCACATCCAGAACTAAAAACTACATTTTGTTTACCAATTATTGGACTTAAGCAAAATCCACATTCAGATGTTTTTACGAATCTAGGGGTTTTAAGTAAAGGAACGATTATTGAAGTAAATGTAAGCGAACTGGGAATCGTCAATGCACAAGGGAATATCACATGGGGTAAATATGCGCAGATTACGAATAATCCGGAAAATGATGGATGTATAAACGCAGTATTATTGGTTTAAAGATTTTAATTTAATAAATTACCTTAATTATTTTTTTGTTGGTTTATTCGATATCTAAATCTTTTTAATCCATTATTAATTTATATTTTTTATCAGATTTTTTTATTAAGACACCACGGTAGTTTAATTGATCTAAAATTTCATTAAAAGATTTATTAATTTCTGTAGTGTCGAATAAATCTTTAATTTCATCAATAACAAATAACAAATCATCTTTTTTTCCTGATTCTATTTTTAAAAGATCTATAAATTCTTTTATAGTTTTAAGTTTTTTTATTTTTTTCATATCAGTCTCTAGCAATCTCTTATGTAAATCAATACTAAACAAAGCATCACTTTTATTGCATATACTTCTAAGTTCCATCTTAGCACGTGCCTCAGTAATTCTTATTAATGATTCTAAATCTCTTGTCGTTGCATTATTTTTTTCTCTGATAGTCAAATAATATTTTTTTAACTCTTCTTTTGCCAAATTATTTAAACACGGAAAGACACTAGAACGTGCATAGGCTATGTATTTCTTTATAATATCCATCGAATAAATAACTGTACTATCAGTTTTACACAATGTCTTGGTAAATTTATCTGTTTTTATGTTTTGTATAAGCTTATTTAAATCTGTTGAATTTGAAGAAGAGGTTAAATGCCTTCTTTTTAATATTTGATCTGATATTTCATAATTTTCTTTTTCATTTAAATTATCAATTAATATAAAAACCAAATCAAATCTGGATAATAGGCCATTATCAAACTTTAAATTATCTTTTACAGATTTGGAGTGGTTAAAATGTCCAAATCTAGGATTGGATGCAGCTATTATTGTGGATCTTGTTGGTACACTACAAATAACACCACCTTTAGCAACAGTTACTTTTTGATCTTCCATGGCTTCAAAAAGAGCCGAATGATCATCAATTTTATCAAATTCGTCAATGCAACACAGTCCATTATCTGAAACAACCAAAGCACCTGCATCTGCCATATAATCCCCAGAAATAGGATCATGTGCAATTGACACTGTTAATCCTGCTGTTGTAGTAAGATTTCCACTAACATAAGTACTTTTTGGTAAAATTCCACATGAATTTAGTAACATTTTACTTTTACCTAATCCCGGATCTCCAATTATTAAGGTATGAATTTCAGATCGGATCTCATTGTGTCCTACGTATTTTTTAGTTCCACCAAACAATGACAGTAACAATCCGGTTTTAATCAAATCATGGCCATAAATTGTACTATATAATGAATGAATTAGGGATGCAACAATATTTTTCGTTTTAGAAATTTTTTTAAATTCCCTAAAGTCTTCTTCTGCACAATCCAACTCTTCTACATATAAGCTTTTGTTTTTTATATGTTCTAAGTTATTAACTTGTACAACAAGTTTATAAAGACTATTGCTTTCATTTTCTGCACTTACTATACCACACAAACTAACAACATCACCAGGTGCTAAAGTACCAACAAAATCATCGTAAATTACACAATCAATATTCATCTCTTCCGGCTTAAACTCATGAGTCAAATCATTAAATCTTTGCAATTTTATTTCTTGCATATCCCGTATAACTATCTGCGGATGATTGTATAAAAAATTAAAGCTTTTCGATTTACAAGCATTCAGACATTTAGTTGGTGGCTTAAATGTATTTTTTTGAAAGTTTATAGATAATATTTCATTACATTTTTTGCATTCAAAAAATGCTTTGTAAATAATTATTCTTTTAAATCCTACTCTGCTAATCGTTCCCTTAAGATAAATTAATCTGCCCAAATGTTCTGTATTAATAGCATCAATATCTTTAATCTTATTAAATTGTGTAATTCTGGTAATAATCTTTATAAAACCAAAATTTTTATCTTTTAAAACTTCAGAAATTGCACAAGAAATACAGTTAATTACTAAATCAATATTGTTGTCTTCCAATTCATTCAAAAAAACTTTTTTAAAGTTTTCAAATGTTACTTCATATATTTTGCTTTTAAACACAGTTTCTGGTTTTACCAGCTCAACAACAACTTGTTTAAATTTCGTAATGATAGAAACAGCTTCATTAAATGCTGTGTATTCTTCTTCTGGAAAATACAGACTCCATGTTTCAATAAACATTTATGCCCATATTTTTTTTCAATTATTTATACAAAAATTGCATAAATTTGCTGGTTTATATACAAATTTTACTTTACCCTTAAAATGGAAGATGCTATTAGGGAAATAGAAGAACGTGACGGTATTAGACTCACCTGGAATGTTTGGAGTACAAAAACCAGTGAATCATCTAAAATACCTATAGCTTGTATGTATAATATACACCAACAGACCAATAGCTTAGAGTGTGAACCTATTTATTGTTTATCATGTAGATCAATTTTAAATTTTTGTTGTTCTATTGATTATGGTAGACAGACATGGAATTGCGTAATATGTGGAACTAGAAATAATTTACCAAGTCATGCAAAGGATATTTCACCTGACAATATTTTGCCGGAAATGAGTGAAGAGAATTCTACTGTTGAATACGTTCTTTGCAAAGAATCTTTGTTTCCGCCAGTATTTTTTTTTATTGTCGACACATGTTCTTTTGACGAAGCTCGACATAAAATTCTTATTAATGCCTTAAAGGTTATGTTTTCAGAAATACCAGATGATTGTCTTATTGGATTTATTAAGTTTGGTACTAATATTGAACTTATAGAAATTAATAAAACCTCACCAAGGAGGACATATCTCTTTTCTGGACAGGTAGAATATACACCAAAAACATTAATTAATTTAGACAGTTTGTCTGTCAAAGGAGCTTCTACTATTTTAGGGAAGTTTTTAGTACGTAAGGATGAATGTAAAGATTTTGTTTTTGATTTAATTAGTAATTTACCACAAGATCCTTTTCCTGTAGTAGATGCTTATAAACCAATAAGATGTACTGGTTCTGCCGTTTCTCTGGCTGTTTCTTTATTAGAAGGAAATTTTAATAATTCCGCTGTTAAATATTTACTGTTTACACAAGGGGCATGTACTTTAGGGCCGGGGACTGTTACATCGATTAAATATAAGGAAAAAGGTAAAAATGATAATGTTGATGAAAATGATGCAGTTTACGATAAAGCTGCACTAAAATATTATACGGATTTGGGAAATAGAATTATTGATTTAGGACATGGACTAGACATTTTGGCTTGTACAATTGAAGATATAGGAATCAATCACATGGAAAAATTAACGTCTTTAACGGGTGGAATGCTAATTATGGCACAAGATTTTAATGAAGAAATATATGTTACATCATGTGAAAAGATTATGGCTAAAAATAATAACATTCTTTTGCAAGGATTTAATGGAAAAGTAGTTGTTAAAACTAGTAAAAATTTAGAATATAAAGGTATATTAGGAATGGGAAAGAAACATAATGTACATTGGAAACTAGGAAGTCTATTTCCAAATACTAATATAACTTTACTTCTATCACAAACGAGTGAAGTAAAACATGAAGATTTTGGATATGTACAAATAGTCACACAATATCAAAGGTCTGACAAGAAATTAGTTGTTAGAGTTACAACTTTTGCTAGGATGTTTTCTGAAAACAAAAATGAGTGTATAAATAGTTTTGATCAAGAAGCGGCTACTGTTTTTCAAGCTAGATTTTTGTTGCTTAAGAATTACGATGAAGTAAAAGATTGTGAAAGAATGATTGAAAAAAATTTAATAAGATTTGTCAAATCCTATGGTAATTTTTCTAAAGGGATACCAGGGTCTCTTGTCCTTCCTGATTCTATGTCATATTATCCCAATTTTATGTTCTTTTTTAAGAGAAGCCTGTTAGTTCAAACAGAGGATGTTTCTAAAGATGAAGCTGTTTATTTTAAAAATTTATTATATCGTGAGAAGGTTGATGAAGCACTAAAGATGATAAAACCTGCTTTAATATCATATCATTATGAAAGTGGCATAATGCCCGTTGAATTGGATACTAAGTCTATACAGCCCGATGTTATTTTAGTCCTTGACACTCTTCATAACGTTGTAGTAAGTCGTGGAAGTTATGTAGCAAGTTGGATAAAAGAAGGATTACATGAGCAAGAAGAATACTTATCTTTAAAAGAGGTTATTGAACAATCTGAAGAGTTTGCAAGAGAACTTTGTCTTAGATTACCTACCCCTCAATTTTGTATTACTGAAGAAAATAAATCTCAACAACGTATTCTTCATCATTATGTCAACCCATCAGCCAGTGGTGTGGTAATTACTGAAAATATTAGTTATGATAAATTTTTTGATGCTCTATCTCGAGTAGTAGTTAACAGTGACGAATAAAGTTTATTGTTTTTATGTTTTAAATGTGATTGTTGTTAAATTAGTTATGTTATCTATTTTACTTTAAAAATTTTACAATAAAAAATCAACATATTATATTTGTTAATATTAAAATATTTATGTTTTCTAGTAAACGGTTTTCTTGTTTTTAAATAAAAATAAATAGTATTTACTTTTATTGGTGTTGAAGTTTTTACTTGCTGCGCAACTTTTCTTTATTGTTCCAGTAAATTTATTCTATTTTGTTATGCTTAATTTTTAATTTGTAAATTTTTGTAATTAATCTTACAACTTTTTTAGCAGTAGATATACTCGTTTATTTAATTAATCGTATTAATCAATGTGCTAAATATATAAGTAAAGAGTATTACAATAATCTATTAACTTCAAAATACTGACACTATTAAAGTCTCTAACTTACTTTAATGCTTTATTTTTTTTTAAATTTTACCCCCAAATGTCCGCTCAAACTGAAACTGAAAAACAGATATCCGATATTATAAAAAAATATATTTCAGATGTTGAAGATAGTAAATTTGAAAACATAAATATACAGACATTTATTCGGGATAACAAAAGGAAGGTAATGACAGTTAAAGTTCCTGCTGAAATTCTTGCTAAAGCACAAATTAATTTTGGAAATATTTTAAAATCTATTAAACAGAAATTTCAGGATTATTATGTTATTATGGTCGAAAATATTAAGAAGGAAGGTGAAATCAGTTGGAATGATGCCAAAAAAATTTTTAAAGGAGCCTGTTACCCATTTATAATAAATGGTATCAGAAATGATGTTATTACACCTGAAGAAGAAATTGTTAATGTTCTTCTTGAAAAAAAATGCACTTTTAGTGATGACGAGTTTAGAATGATTGAGACTGCTATCACAGGATTAGTAGGTAGAAAGGTTGCAGTTTCGATCAACTTCCATACTTTAAATTAAATTTTTATGATTTTTATTTTTTATAAAATTACCTCCTTATGGAGGAAATACAGAACTTAAAAAAAAAGAATTATAAATCAGTACAAAAAAATTATAGTGAAGACTATCTTGGACTTGATTTTTCATACCAAGGATTAAAGCATCTTTCTTACTCTTTGTTTCAACTTACTTTTATCAAAGAGTTAAATTTGAAAGGTAACGATTTAGAAAATATTCCTGGAGACATTTACATCCTAAAAAATCTTGAAATTTTAAATCTCAGCAAAAATAAAATTAAATTTTTACCGGCTAAAATAGGTAAAATGATAAATTTAAAAGAGCTGTATTTATCTGATAATTTTATATCAAATATCCCTATGGAACTTGGAAGTTTGTACAACTGTACTGTATTTGAAATTAATAATAATCCACTTATTAGTCCTTTTAACTTATTATATAAGGATAAAAAGTTATTACAGTACTGTAGAGAACATAATACAAATTATGGCCCGCCAGCAGATAGAACATGGTTAGATACTGTTATAAAAAAGGATATGTCGGAAATAACATTTTCTTGTGGCACATACAACATTTTATCGAATTATAGTGCAGTACGTTTAGGATATCCACCTACTTGGGTTCTTAATCCTGATTATCGTAAAGAAAATATTTTGCATAACATTTGCTCTATAAATGTTGACATTCTTTGTTTACAAGAAGTTGAAACTTACAATTATGAAGATTTTTATAAAGATCAGTTAGAGTTAAGATGTGAATACAGTTCAGTTTTCCAACCTAAAGGAAGATCGAAAAATTTAACAGATTCTAAATCCGTGGATGGATGCGCGACTTTTTGGAAAAAATCGAAATTTAAGATAAAGGAAAATTTAGTTATTGATTTTTATAGTAAATTTATAAATGATTATAGATTCAATAAAAATATTAATTTAGTCAGCAGATACGGTAAGAAAGATAACATAGCACTAATTTCAATCTTTGAAATTTCTCAGACAAAACAAACACTTATTGTTGTAAATGTTCATTTGTATTGGGATCCTGAGTATGAGGATATTAAATTTGTACAGGCAATCATTTTACTTGAGGAATTAGAAAAAGTCAGTAAATGTTATAAAAATCCCAGTATTGTCTTATTAGGAGATTTTAATTCTTTACAAAATTCTTCTGTATATTCATTTATCACTCAAAATAGTGTATCGAATACAAATTTGTGTAAATATAACATAGGATTTATTCCTGGTCATTTTTTAAAACTGTCTGATGCATATTTGAGCGAAGAAAATGACTTCACTAACTTCACACCCACTTTTAAAGGCGTGATAGATTTCATTTTTTATTCAGATACATTGGAATTGAGAAGTATACTTTCTACGATTGAAAATGAATATTGTGATCAGGTAGTTGGTCTTCCCAATATTCATTTTCCGTCTGATCATATTTTTTTAGCATCAAAATTTAAATTAAAAAAATAAATTTATTTAATTCGATTTATTAAAAATAAACGCATGAAGAGAATATAACAAGTTGTACACTGTAAGTTTATGAATATTTTTATCACACAAATCGGTTAAATGCTTTTTACTGTCAATTTTTCCCACTCTAGACATTTCTAATTCTTTTCCTATTAAATCTTTTTCCTCTTCAACTGTTTTCAAATAATTGTCAATGAATTTACACAAACTTTCTTTATCGGCAATAAAATCTTGAAACTTAAGATTATTCGCCCAGGTTTTTTTGTGTAAATTTAATAACATCTTTTGTTCAATATCATATTTTTTGTAAGTTATATTAAATGAGTAGTAGTGCTTATTTAATCCATGTATGATAGAAATAAGTGATGGACTTTTTAAATAACCGATATTGCTAGTAATTTGCCGCGGCTCTTGTCCCATTATCCCCAATGAGTTTTCTATAGATCTAAATGCATCAATAACAACTTTACCTTTTACACTTTGAATTGGATCAATAACAACAGCGACAGATCTTTTACAAAGCTTTTCAAAGCTTTGCTGAGTACTTATATCAACGCTACTAAGCCAGCACCCAAAGCCAGGATGACTATGGTACCATCCTACTACTGTTTCGTGTCTACCTGTAGCTTTAAGAATATCCATCATTTTTGTTTGAAACACGGGATCAACTGCTTCAACCGTAACACCGGTTCCACTTTGTGGCATAGCAAAGACATCAACGACTTTAACAGTATACGGGTCAACAAATTCACCGAGCATTAAACCCATGACTTCCATTGGCACGCCAGATCTGCCGTGTTTTAGCATTTTTAAAAGTGCCAAGGAAGAAATTTGTACTGTTTCTGATGTATCGGGTGTTGGATCATTAGAAATTTGTCCCAAAAAATCTGTAAACATTGGGGTAAAAAAACATAATCTTTTTTACTTTTCAAAAAAACAATTTATTTCACCTGTAAAATTTATAAATCCATTTAAAAGGATAAGATGTTTGTATATAAAGCTAGAAATACAAATATGCACTTTGTATAACAAATTTACAATTTCTATAATTAACATGTGTATGTTATACTTATTCAACATTCTTTAATGTAACTTTAAGACTATTTTTATCATTCACCCTTTAGATGTTATAAATTGATCGGTAAAGAAAAATCTTTTTTTTAGAATAATTTAAAGAAACATAATTTAGACAGTAAATAATTAAAAACCACTTTAAAAATTTATTATTTCTTCTCTAGTTCATTATAAATCGTCTGAATAGATCCATAACTATCTTTAATCTTAGTTCTTATATTCCTAAGCCTATTATATATTGTTCCAGGCTGCGATCCCATAATTAATCTACAATACGAATCCTTAGCTATTCTTGTATTTTCAATTGGACCAAGTAAAAAAATATTAGCGTCTTTTATTAGAGACTTACATCTAGAAAGAGATTCAATAGTCAATTTTGTCTTCCCCTCTCTTCCTATCATCCTTCCTATTGCTCTTTCAATATGTAAATTTTTTAAGATCTTTACTTCGTGAATATTAAAATTATCAAGAAAAACATCTGGAAATTTTAAAATAGCAAGTGAGTCTTCAATACTAAATCCTATATTAATAGCTCTAAGAAACTGTTCAACTCGATTCAGAAAAGATGTATCTTCTGTCAAATGGCACGTTCTAATGTCTATTTGCTTTTTCATAAAATTCATTCTTATTTGTATTTTCGCCAGTTCTACAATAGGAGTGTAAATCTTTAGCCATTCTGATTTATACAAAGCCATTTTATGTGATGGTATGTCAATACTTCTACTTTGAATCTCTACATTATTTTCATTTTTACAACAAGATTGCATTAAAAAGAGGATATAAAAAATTAAAATTTTAACCGCATGAAAATATTGCGAGAAATTTTTAAAAATCTTAAAAATGTAGAACTAACAAAAGAAAAAATTAAAATGGGAAATATGGAATATGACAAGAATATGGAAATAAACATAGAAAGAACAACTAAGAAAAAATATACACTTGAACAGTTAACTTATTTTCTTATAAACAAGGATTTACAATATACAAAATATTTAAGAGAATGTAAAAATAACGGTGTAACATCTATTTTTTATTCAGATCAAAAAATTATATTAGAAGAACTAGAAAAAGAAGTTGAAACAGAAAAAGAAGCTTATTACGACTTACCAGAGTCCAGATACTACAGTAAACATAAATATTTTTGGGTTGAAGAAATAATTGCAGAAAAACCTGAACAAATTGTTCGGTCTAAAATTAATGAAAAATACAAAATTATTGTGTCACCTTCGTTGACTGCTACAGTTAATTTAAATAATATTGAAATTTTACTAAGTACGGGATTTTTGGAAAAAAGAAAAGAACTTGTTTTTGATAAAATAGAATTTCAAGTTGAAGACACAACTTTTGTAGCTGAAGAAGATATTAAACATTGGACGAGTGATGACTGGAATATGTTAGTTGCAATTTTTTGTGATGGAAGTAAATGGCAGATAAATGAATGGGGAATAGGAGATGTAGCTAGTTTATTTTATAATATTCCTACTTTTTATATTGAAAATGAAACAACGTTAAATAAAAATGATGCATCTAAAAATAAAAACAAATTATCTGGATACAATCTAACAAGATGGATTGCGACAGACAATAAATTAAAAAATGAAGATTTCAAAACTATGTGGAATAAAATTAATGAAATGATAAATAAGAAAAAATAAATTATTTATTTTTTTTTGATAAACACATTGTTCACACTTTTACACAAAATTTCTGGCGTGACAACATTACAGAATTTTAAAAATTCTCTTTTTGTTCTAACAATAGAAAAATATAAGATAAAGGGTTCTCTTTTTTTATAAAGACAACTGGAACTGTGTATATAACACTCTGTTTGTTTAAATATGGTGTAATATCCATCTTCTTTAATTTTCGCTATATTCATAAAATATCCAAAAGAAAAAGCTTCAATAACTTTAGATTTGTTTGAAGAATTGTTATAATTAAACATAAAAGATAATTGATCCTTAATTTTCTTTGCCTGCCACATATTTCGTAGAGACAGAAAATTGTACTTACAAAACTTGTTAGAATATTTTTCTTTTTTCCATGCATTAAATATTTTTAGTAAGACAAAAAAATCTCCTCTATCATCGTTCCAGGATGATTTGACAGCTAGAAATTTTTTATATAAAAAATTGTCGTCCTTTTTTACGTCCACGTAAATTTGATCGACAGTTAGCATTGCAGCAATAATTGCAACATCTTCAAAACAACCAAGTTCCTCAGATCTAATTAATGTGAGTGATAAATATGGATCAAGTGGTAAACGTGCCATTTTTCTTCCTAAATCTGTAATATCTCCAACACTATCCACTGCTCTAGCAAGGAATAAATATTCTAATGCATCATTAATTGAATCTGGATTAGGCATATCAATCATTTTGAAGTTATTCAGATTATTGATACCTAAAGATTTTATAGTAAGAATACACTTACAAACATTAGTAGTTAAAATTTCGGGTAATAGAGAATCCTTCATTTGTAAAAATTCTTGTTTTGTGTATATTCTAAATGTTTTACCAGGTCCTGTGCGACCTGCTCTGCCGCTTCTTTGTTTTGCTTGCGCTTTACTAATCATTAATGTTTCTAAGATATCCAATCCAAGAAAACATGAATGGCGCATTTGTTTTACTCTTCCCGAGTCTACAACGTAGACAATATTTTCTATTGTCACTGATGTCTCACAAATATTAGTAGACAAAACAATCTTTCTTTTCTCTGTATTCAAGAATACTTCTTCTTGATCATTTATTGACATAGCACTGTAAATCATTAAAATTTTACAAGTTTCTAAATTTAAACTAGTAGTTAAAATCTGGTAGGCATCTTTAATTTCTTCTTGCCCAGTTAAAAATACTAAAATATCACCTTTTGGTTCGGTGTTATGAATTTGTATTACAGTTTTAATAGTTTCATAAAACCAGTTTTCAGAATTATATTGTTTTAAAAAATAATTTTCGAGAGGAAATACTTTGTGCTTAATATTCACAAAAGGACAATTAAAAAAATCTACAAACTTTTGTGTCGACATAGTAGCACTCATCAATAAAATGCGCAACTTTGAATTTTCATTAATAATTTGTTTACAAATGCCTAATAATATATCAATATTAATAGTTCTTTCATGTGCTTCATCAATAATCAAACAATCATACCTATTTAAGTTTCCTCTATGAATCATTTCATTTAGTAATATTCCATCTGTAACATATTTTAATTTTGTCTTCGCACTAGTACGATCATCAAATCTAACCGCATAGCCCACCAAGTCTCCTACTTTACTACCCATACAATGCGCAACTCGTTTAGCTACTGAAATAGCAGCTATTCTTCTCGGTTGTGTACATACAATTGAGTTATACTTTTTTAACAAATACATCGGAATTTTGGTAGTTTTTCCGCAACCGGTATCCCCTTGTACAAGAACTATCTTTTTTTCATCCAGTAATTTTGTGATAAGATCCATTTTCTTCTCTACAGAATCTTCTCCATCTAAGTTTTCAATATCTGCTTCATTATTCAAAAAATTCAAAATTTCTAAATCATAATTCTTTATAGGTTTCTCAACTGTAAATTTGTCAACTAATAATTTATTTGGTATTTCCCATTTCAAAAAAATATCTTCAGACAGTTGAGCATCTTGACCATAAAAATTCTCTTCGGTGATTTTTTTCAAATTTACGAGATCAGTAAAAATATCTTTAGAAACTATTTTTTCTAAATCTTCATAATTATCAGATGTTAGATACGTGTAAACATTATTTATTAAATCTACTGTATAAGCAATATTTTTTGTATTGAAAACGTCAATAATATCTTTCCGCATGTCCATTGCACAAGGGATAAAAAATTATAAGAAAACACTGCTAACAGCAGATTTTAAAATTTAAAGGTGAGTTATGGGATTCTTCCGTAAAAGTCAGAAGTTCATGCTTTAAATCACGGGGGTAAATTTTTAAAAAAATAAATATTTTAATTAATGAGGCACAAAACTTACAGTAAATTAGTATAAAAATTTTTAGATAAACAGTTAACCTTCAGTTATTAAAAATATTTAATTTAGTAAACAAATATATTTCTATATTAAAATCATTTAGATCAATCATATGCTAAGCGTATTATTGAAGTTTATTGTAATAAGAAAAATATTAAATGTTTTGTATATCAAGACCATAAAGGTTACAGTAAAATTGCGTATGTATATAAATTAAATTGAAATAATATTTAAATTATTATAGATTTTACAAAAATAAAGTAAAACTTAATATTTTTGTAAAGTGTCGTGTTTTTTAACAATATATAATTAGATATTCTTAACTTTTATTTGTCTAAATATATTTATCATTGATTTGTCTTAGTCGAAATTTTACTAACATTAACAAAGTGAATGTAGTTATTTAAATACATTTATAATTTTTTATAATTTATAAAAAAAAGCTTTAGGAATAAATGTTTCATAAAACCTTGTTTAAAAATTTTTCATATTTTTTACTCTAAGCAAACAGTATTTTGCAGGTCTGCCTCTTCTTTGATAATATATTAAAGTGTTTTCAAGAGTTTTTTTAAGCAATATAGATTAAGTGTAAGCCTCACTTTTGTCAATAAATTTAGATTTCCTTTTGTGTCTAGAGCGATATTTGCTTACTATTCCATTTCATAAGTACTTTTTTATACTATAAATTTAATAAAAATAAAAAGGCTTAAATCTTTTTAATATGCATGTTAATAAATAAATTAATTTTTTTACATAGAAAAAAAAAGTTTAGAAGTTATTCTCTACTGAATGTAGTTAATATGTGATTTAGTAGATAAAATATTTTTATATAAATCTTATAAGAATATTATAAATTGCATAACAGTACTGCGATAAAACATTAGTATTAAAATTTACTATCATGTTTTAACTTCTTTTGAGCTAATATAATGAAAGCATTTTGTAAAAGTCAGAAAGTAAACTTAAGCTCAACTTATCTTTTAAAATATTTACAGCAGCTCTGTCTAAAGGTTAATTAAAATTTGTTATTATTATTTTGTAATAATTAATCTTTATTTTATTATTTGTTTAAATACATTTATTTTTGAAGATGTTGTAAACGTTTATTGAAAGAAAAAGGCTAATTTTAAATTTTTATTAATAAATTAAATGAAATATTGTTCAAGTAACTTATTTAAAAACATAGAGTTTTTTATAGTTACAATTGTATACATTGCTAAAGATAAAGCAAAACAAAACAAAAGAAAGGCTACTATAAATATTGAAAAAGGAACTAAATGTTCAGAATACCATAAAATTACAAGGATCATAACCGCGAATATAACCAAAATACCCAAAATGAGTGCAATAATGATCATGTTAAGTATCCTTTGTTTATTGTTCATCAATTTTAGCATAAAGTTTCGTGTATCACTATTATCCTCCTCACTTTCAAAAATAGATACAGTTGTATTATCTGTTGCAAGAATGCCATTAAGATAAGCAAAAAAGCAAATCAAAGCAAAGTTTATTTTAGCCTTCATTGGGGTAATTTTAATGTTTTAAAGTTAATTAAATTACAGCCAAAAATTTTTTAACATCCTGTGAAAATCATTTAAAAATTAAACTTACAAGTCATTAAAATTACAAAAGTTTCAATGGCGCCATTCTAGCAAAGAACTATTTATTTTTTTGTCATAATTCTCAAATAATTTTTATAATAACTGTTAACTGAAGGATATGATAGACATCCATGTTTGACTCTGTCAATTAAAAACTTTAAAAATTAAGAAGGATAAAAAATTCTTAAAGGAAAAAGTAACGTTTTTTGCGTAAAATTAATAAAAAAATGAATAAGTCAAAATAAATTTTAAAAAAATTGTTTAATAATCTGAAAAAGTCTAATTACTATTTAAACACAAAAGATTTTTGGTTTCTTTTAAATGCAAGCAATTCTAGAGAATCACTTATTTTTATAAAAGTGTTATATTTTGCAAAATAATATTTAATTTCACATCTGCCCATGTCTCCTTTTTCGTATTTGTATTTATACCTGTTTAATAATTTATAAAACCAATACTATGATTTACTTTGTGATGTGTATATTTGTAATATATTTAATTTTACGTATCCTTTTTAACAATCAGTATGTTTAGTACTTCCTGGCATGACATAATTTTTAATTGGTGCCGAAAGTATATCCTCCTTTCTGCTTTTAAATTACACTAATACAAATTATCGGCAAGAAATACGTTCATCCTTTTCTATAACACATCCATCATCAACTCTGTGCTCTATTTGATATTTTCGCTTGCTGAATTTAGACATGCCTACTTCTACAATTACGCCAGATCATCCTATTTTTGCATATCCTTTAATGTTTTGTCCTGCATGTTTCACAATACAGTTAATTATTTTTCTTAATCCCATGATAAATTTTATCATATGTTCTGCAAAAATGGAAATATAACTTTTGCAACTATTAGCCAATTGATCTTAGCATTAAAAGTGGCTTTTTACTAGTAATTTTTGTTTCCTTCCTGCAAATTCCGCGAGTAAATCGAAAAATGTTCTGTTGTCTAATCATTTTTTTGACGTTGCCTTAAGACCAAAAATAAGATCTTTCTATAATATCAAAAACAATTTTATCAAATGTCTTCTTTATTTCATCAAAATAAATATTTATTTTTATGCCCAAAAAAGCCTAAAAAAATAAACGACCTAGAGCTTTAAAAGTAATTTAAACTCTATAAGATTTAACATAAACTTGTTAATTTATATAAATTTAATTCTTTTTTAGTTTAATTTATGCAAAAAATATTTCTTTTTAAAGATTTTTCTCCTTCTAAATTTTGCAACTCATTTTTGTGGTTTAAAATTTTTTATTGGTAGGATCAAATATAGATGCCTATTGTATCCCGCCTCCTAACTGTTTTTATTTTAAAAATTGTTATTTAAAAATAAATAAAAAAAAATTGAATTTTAATAAGTAAATTAATATTTTTGTAATTTAAATTTCATTTTAAAAATATTTTTAAAACAAAAACTTTAAACTTTTTACTACCTTTTATACATTGGCACTTAAATAATATTTAATTTGATCTTTTTATATTTTTTTAAACTTGTATAACTATTTACAAATTTTAATAAAGTTTAGTCAATTCTAAAAATTACTATCGTATCCATCATTATATCTTAAAATCCAATATCGACAATTACGCTAGTTAAATTTTTTTGAAAGAAATAAAGTAATGTTTAAGTGCATACTGATTTCTAAAACAATTACTTTAGCATGTAAAGGTTAAAGCTCTAAGTTAAAGTGTCTAATTTTTTTTTAAATTTAACCTTAGAAAAAACAAAAACAAAAATATTTTTAAATATTTAATTAAATAACTATTTTTGGTCCATCAATCAATTCTTCTTAGAAATCAAAAAATTTTATATAAAAACCGTTGTTGGGATAAAACATAGGTTTATTTAATAACTATTATTTATTAACAGACATGTGAAAGATATTGACCCAATACTTCTGATTGTACTGTTTTTAAATCTTTAATGTTCTACAACAAAGTTTAATAATTCTCGTTTCTTAATTAACGTATTTTTTATTTCTTCTTACATGTTCGCCTCCAGTAACTTGTCTATTACATTCCGCTTCATTAAGTATTTTTATATCTTTAATAGTATATAAAATATCCATAAATAAAGTTTTTGACAACATATCACACATAAAGAACTTTAAATAAGATCTAAAAACAGCCAATAGTTTGATAGATTTTAGGTATTTGTACAAATCGGATTTCTTAGTAGTAAATTAGTGATTTTGAAATTTGATAATTAAATTTTACTTGTGTTAATAAAAGTTTTTCTTTAAATTATAGAAAACTAAGTAAATCGATAGAGACACCAAAAAGTTTTGTTTGTGCTAGGGAGCAAAGGCATAAGTCAAAAAAAAATCAATTTTAAAAACTTTATAATAACGTTTTTTTTTGTATCTTAAAATTTGAGGTGTCTAATTATTAAATAAAAATATTTTAAGGATATGATTGCTAGCTAGCAATTGGTAATATATTAACTTATAAAATAAAGGGTAAACAATATTTATATAATTCATATACAATATTTGATATCTAATATAAAATTCTTTAATTTTTAGTAGCATAGAATTATTAAGCACATTTTAAAAAAGACACCTTTTTTTGTATACAAGAATTTTGTATAAATATAAAATTTTTTATAGCCCTTAGAAAGTGATGATTAAAGTTATCCCTGGCTGAGGATGATGAAATACATAATCTGATTCTCATTTTATAATTTTTTATCCTTCTATGAAGATACCTGACCTCTATGACATACAGAAGAAATTTATAACTGATTGCAAAAAAGTTATTGATAACTCTTCTGTAGGTATTTTTTCTAGTCCTACTGGTACTGGTAAAACATTATCTTTATTACTTAGTGTACTCGAGTACATAACAGAATTAGAAGAAGATGATGTTTTATTAGAAAATCTTGTGGAAAACTTTTCTAGAACTAAAATATATTTCTGTTCTAGAACACATTCTCAATTAAAACAATGTTTGCATGAATTTAAAAATTTAGAAGTAAAAACAAATTCTGTTATTTTAGGATCTCGGAAAATTTATTGCATAAATAGAGAAATTGATAATAAAGAGGATATTAATAAAGTTAATCAAAAATGTAAAGATTTGATTAAGCAAGATAATTGTAAATATTATAAGCAGGACATGTTTGTGTCCGGTATTTATGACATTGAACAGCTTGTTAAAGAAGGTAGAAAACATAAAGCGTGTCCTTATTTTTTTAGTAAAAAATATTTTAAAAAGTGTGAATTGGTCTTTTTGCCATATAATTTGCTTTTTAATGAAGAAAATAGAAAAAATATAAATATCAATTTAATTAACAGCATTGTTATTGTTGATGAAGCACACAATATTATCGATACAGTGAATAATTTTAATACGATTACAATACATTATGAAATAATAGAAAAATATTTTGTTGCTTTTAATAAATACAAAAAGCTCCTGAATTTAAATTCAAAATCTATAAAAATTGTAGTTAATATGTTAGATATATTACAAAAATTAGTAAAATATAAAAATTCTATTTCTAAAATTATGGAAGTAAACGCTTTTTTGTATGATTCTAATTTGTTAAAATATAATATGCTTGATATTGAAGAGAATTTGAAACAATACAATATTTGTGCAAAGATAGAAGCGTATGGTAAGAATTTACAGAATAAAATTTTTGACATTATTAAGTTTCTAAGTTTACTTGTAAATTCAGATAAAAATTGTAAGATTGAAGTAGCAGATAAATATTTAAAAATTTTTCCGATTGATGCAAAATTATATTTTGAACCTTTTTTTGATTGTCAATCTATCGTTTTTGCAGGTGGAACAATGGAACCGATACAACCCTTGCAAGATATTTTTAATGCAAAAAATGTTGAATATTTTTCGTATGATTCTATAATTAAAAATTTTAGAGGATTTATCATTTGTGAATTTGATCATAAAAGATTTGAGTTGACTGAGAAGACAAGAGATGTCGAAAAGATTCAAATGGAAATAATATTGATTATTAAAAAAATAGCTTGTACGGTTAAAAAGGGTGGGGTTGTAGTTTTTTTACCATCAAAATATTATCTAGAATTTTTGAGAAAATTACTAAAAGATTCTGAAAATTATTTTTTTGAAAATTTTGACACCTTCGAAGATTATACAAAAGCTACAAAAACGAATAAATGTGTATTATTTGCTGTTATGGGTGGTAAATTGAGTGAAGGTGTAAATTTTAATGATGACCTATGCAGAGTTTTAGTTATTTTTGGTGTGCCATTTCCAAATATTTCAGTTGAAATTGCAGAAAAAATTAAATATTTTGGGGAAAATTTTTATTTGCAAATGGCGATGAAAAAAGTTAATCAAACAATTGGACGAGCACTTCGTCATGTTAATGATTATGCATCTATTTTTTTGATAGATGCAAGATATAATAAATATAAAAAAGATCTTAGTTTATGGTTTAGACAAAAAGTAAAAGATATAAATTTTGAAACAGCATTAAATGAGACAGGGAAGTTTCTAGATGAGCATTATTAAGAAATTAAAAAATGTAAAAGATTTGTAAAAAACATTAAAAATTAATTTATTGAAAATAATAAAATTTTTAAAATTATATTGGAAAAAAATCCTCTTCAATTTTCTTAATTCTAAGTGTAAGACGAGGACCTATCTCTGTAAGTCCGACTTTAATGTTTTCTTCTTCTACTGTTTCTATTTTATAGTGTCTTATTTGTATAAAATCATTTTCAAAATGAAAATTTATATTTCTTTCTGGTGTATTGTTTGGATGACTAAGATTTGTAAAGAAATCATTGTATTTACTTTCCCCGGTGATCGTAATAAGTGGGTCTGTAGAATAAATAGCGTTACTAAAAATTTTCATTTTTTCCTCAAATTCTTCGATACTAAAAGTAAAAGTAGGCCCATTTGGTCTCTGTCCAATTTTAATATAATTATCAGCTGTTACAATAAAATGACTCATTTTTAAATCTTCTCCTAAAGATTTATATCTTCTAACGCTTACATTCTTATCTTTTAGCTTGTATGTGGTGTTTGGTAAAAATAATTTTCTAAAAACTGTGCATAAAGTCTTTGCTCGTTTTTTTGGTTTTTTAGAACAAATTACAAGTTTATTAATACATTCATCCATAAGGGGAGACAAAATAAAAAAATATTATAAAATTTATTCAATTAGTCCCATTTACTCATGTCTTCAATATCATCATCTTCAAATCTATAACAAGGTTTTTCAATGCCATTTTCTTTAGCTGGGGAAGATCTCCATAAAGAAGATAAGTTTTCAGAAGACGACCTTATAATTTTGGCGGAAGGTATAATAATACTTTTACCAAATTTGCCTCCATATTCTACAGTTTTATTTGTAACTTGTTTAACACCAGAAATAAAAGAATTAGAAACAATGCTAAATTTGTCATATAATTTACTCTTAAAGCTTTCTTCATTAGCAATCGTTTTGGGTTCGTAAAATCTTGTAGAATAGTAAATGCTATTTCTTTTGTTCTGCAAATTGGAATATTCTTCTTCACAAAGACCAAGTTCTTCATAAACACGTGATTTTAACTTTTCTCCATACTTTTTTACTAAAGGATCATAGTATAACACATTACACTCTTTATTCTGTAAATTATGCTTTTCTAAAAATTCTGTAAATTTTTCATTTCCTCCTAGTTTCATAAAAAGATATTCTACTTGACTCCATTTGTCCATATTAACACTTTTTACAAAAGAAATGTTTACACCAAAAGATCTGTGTATTGATGTGCAGTCAAAACATAAAAAAATGCCAAATGTCTTAGATGTCCATTGTGTGTTGGGAATATTACAATCAATACATCTGTTATTACTAGGATTTTTAAGTAATTCTACAAGTTGACTATTATAAGATTCTTTACTTTCCATATTTGTTGACTGAGGGAAAATTTATTTATATTTTGAAACATAAAGAAATCAATAAATTTTGGACAAATTAAATCTTTATTGCAAAACCCTTTAAGAATTTTTCAATATTTTTTTTGCTTGTTCTAAGTCATAAATTTTTTTAGTCAAATATGACTTTAAAATCTCTTTTGTTTCATCTGTTACTTGTTTGTACTTTAAAAATTGTTGAATTTCAATTTTAAATTCGGCACAATTTTTTTCAATTTCATCTTTTTTCGAATTTTCTTCGGCTTCTCGTATCATTTGCGAAATTTCACCTTCATTTAATCCACTTGAAGGCACAATTTCGATTTCTTGCTTTTTTTTCGTTATCCCGTCTTGCGCAGATACTTTGTATATTCCGTTAGCATCGGCTTCAAATGTAACATCTATCTTTGGAATACCTGCAGGTGCTTTAGGAATGTTTTTGAGTTTTATAGCTCCTAAATATTTATTGTCTTTTACCATCTTTCTTTCTCCTTGATATATTCTAATATCTACTTCGGATTGATTATCTTCAGAGGTAGAAAAATTGTGTGTTTCCTTAAATGGAATAGTAGAATTTCTATGAATTATCTTATTAAAAATCCCGCCCAAAAGCTCTATACCTAAACTCAATGGTACTACATCCAATAATAGGACATCTTTTATTTTTCCTTCTAACACGCCTGCTTGTAGAGCGGCCCCTTTAGCAACAGCTTCATCTGGATTAATATTTGTAGAAGGCTCGATACCAAAAATCTTCTTAACAAGTTTTCTAACATACGGCATTCGTGTCATTCCACCCACAAGTATAACGTGTTTAATATCACTTTTAGTTATATTGGCATCTCTAATAGCTTTAAGACAGGGGTTTATTGTTTTGTCTATTAACTTTTTTGTAATTTTTTCAAATTCGTCGCGTGTAATTACCTCTTTTAAGTGATAATTCTTTTTACTATCGTTATAAATATACGGAATATTAATTTCAGACGAAAGATTAGACGACAGTTTTTTTTTCATTTTTTCCGCTGCTTCTTTAATTCTATTATAACAAGAATCGTGTTTAAGTAAATCAATTCCTGTTTTACTTTTAAATTTTTCATTAATATAATCTACTAAAGTATTATCCAAATCTTCTCCTCCTAAAAAAGTATTTCCGTTAGTAGATTTTACATGAAAAATACCATTATCTAATTCTAATATACTAATGTCAAAAGTTCCTCCTCCCAGATCATAAACAGCTATAATACCCTGCGCAGACTTGTCAAGCCCATAAGCAAGTGCTGCCGCAGTAGGCTCATTAATCACTCTAAGCACTTGTAATCCCGTAATCCTTCCCGCATCTTTAGTAGCTTGCCTTTGCATGTCATCAAAATATGCGGGCACTGTTATAACAGATCTTAATACTTTAGAATTTAAAAAATTCTCTGCGGCATTTTTCATTTTTGACAAAATAAATGCACCAATTTGTGCAGGAGAATATTTCTTATTGTCAATTTTTATCCAAATATCGCCGTTACAATGCTTAGTAGTGTCATATGGTAAGCTTTTTAAATAATCTTTTAATTCTACATCATCAAATTTTCGTCCCAGCAATCTCTTAGACGCAAAAATCGTATTCTTGGGATGTAATAACAAGTTAGACTTAGCTTGCTCACCTGTTAAAATTTTATCTTTAAAAATTGATACCACCGATGGTGTAGTTCTACCACCTTCTTCGTTTTCAATAATTTGTGGGATATTGTTATGTATAAGAGACACACAAGAATTGGTTGTTCCTAGATCAATTCCTATTATTTTAGAGCTAATTTCTTCTTTAGACATTTGACGGGTAAAAATTCAAGAAAAAGATAACTGAACTTATTTTAAATTGCGTGTATCTGCTAGTATTGTAGCTATAAGCTTTTAAAATGTAGTAAGAATGTTATAAAAAGTGTGACACTATATTTAAGTGCTATTTATTTTTTATAGATAATTAAAATTTTTGAAGTGTATCTGATGTTGTGGTATGATTAGTTCAAATAACCTTTTTGTTCCTGCTTATTAAATATTTAGAATACAATTACTAGATTATGAAAATTAGAAATTTATATTAACACTTATTTATAACAAATTGTATAAACTATCAAATAATATAAGAAAACTTTAAAAGATGATTTTATCTAAAAGAAATACTAAGAACCAATTAAAAGTTTAAAATATATTGGTTTTGACTAAAATTTAGAAAAGATATTAATAATTGATTATAATTAATTGTGATTAATTTACTAGTAAAAATGATTTTAATATTTTTTTTATTGCATTTTACAGACAAGTTGAACGTAAAAAGTTTTTGCAAAATTACAAATTTGTTAAAATGTGAATAAAAATAAGCTTAATTTTTTATTCATATTTCTTGATTTACAATAAAATCTTTGATAAATTATTTTTGTTTTAAAATAGACCTTGGTTTTATAAAAGTGGTCTAGCATTCCTACTTATCTCAGGTGACATTGTTTTGTAAAAACAAACTATAACTGTAAAAGACCAACTTATTTAATTATAGTAGAAAGCATGTTAGAATTAAATAACATTTATTTTTTGAATTGTTTACCAAATTTTCGCATTTAAATATACACTCTCGTAAAAGTTCTTAGGTTTTTTTAAATCAAATCTTAAATGGAAACTTTTTAAGTGTAAATATCAAAAACTTTTTTGTAAGAATAAAACAAAAAACAATTGTTTAATTTAATTAAATTTATATTTTACCAACAAACTTTTTGTGCTAAATTTTCAAAGAACATAGTATTTTTTTTGTTTATATTTTACGTTTATAAACACAGATTAATATATAAAAAATTATTTGTTTGTTTTTATGATTTGGGAGGGAAATTTTTTATACTTTCTAATTGTATACATAAATCCAATAATTTTTTCATATCTAGAAATATTACTAATTACATTTTTACTACTTTTAGAATGCTATAAAGTTATACTTCTAGTTAAGCTCGAAACTGTAAACATATCACGTGTGCTTTTTAAATCTAAGATAAATATTTGGAAAAAAGTTGAATGTGGAATTATAACAGCAATATTATTTTTACAGATGTTAGACATTAATATCTTTTCACCTTTTTTCTTCTTTATTTTATGCTTTGAATTATATAAGGAATATTCATTTAATGCTGATAATTTTATAGTAAATGATATACAATTTAAAAAGATGGAAACATTTGCAAAGTTTGTTTTTTACCTTATGGCTGACTTCTATTTTACTGTAAAAATGTTGATTAAATCAAATTAGTTTAATAGTTCATTTCCTAAATTTAAAAAAAAATCTATTTTTGATTTATCTTCTAAGGATGCAGAGTCTAAATCTTTGGTTTTTGAAGCTCTTCTTGTTCTTTTTTTTAAATATAACAACTTATTAATACTATTTGTACTTTTTGATTTTGGTTTACATATCTTCTTGTCTTTGAGATTTTGACACTCTAATAAAGCAGGGCTTTTACAAGACGTGTTTGTGTTATTTATTTCCTTAGACAAATAATCAGTAGTTTGCTTATTATTCATATTTTTGGATAAGGTTCTATTTCTTCTAAGTCTAGTTTTATTTATTCTGGGCTGTTGGTTTTTAGTACATAAATTTTTACAACAATCAAATTTATTTTGTACTTCTAATTTAATAAAATTAAGTTCGTCTTTAAAGATTTTAATTTCTCTTAAAATTTTGTTGTATGATAAAATTAACCCATTTAAAAATTCATTATCCATTTTAATGCAAAAAAAAATTAATTTATTTAAAGTAAACAAACAAATATTAAATAAAAACTAAGCTGTTTGTGAATTTATTTGTTATCTGACGTCGCCAGAAAAAAAATATTTAAATAAATTATAAAAACAAAAAAAATGAATTATGAAAATAGGGATGAAGAAAATTCTTTACCTAAATCAACTGTTGATAGATTTGTCAATAATTGCTTACCAAAGCAGATTACGGTGTCTAAAGACGCTAAAGAAATGTTTTCGAATTGTATAATAGAATTTCTAAAAATGATCTCGCTTAAAGCAACTACAATTTGTGAAAAAGAAAAAAAGAAAACTATTGCTTTTGAACACTTAATAAAAGCACTGGAGGAAAAGGGATTTGCTGAATATGTAAAAACATGTAAAGAAGCGCAATTTAATTATGAAAATTATGTTAAAGCCAAACCTTCAAAAATTAATAAATTTAAAACGTCTGGATTGTCTTTGGAAGAGTTACATAATCAACAATTGGAATTGTTTAAAAATGCTAAGCAAGAATTTGATAAAACTATGAACGGAAATGAAGAGACAGAAATACAAAATAAATCATTGTAATAATTTAATTATAAATTCCCATATTAATATCAATATCTGGAAAATTTTTCAAAAATTGTATCACTTTTTCAAGCTGATCATGAGAGCTGGTTATAACGTATCTGACTTGGTGAACAATAATTTTATATTTAGCCCAGGTTTTTGTACCTTGTCCACATGGTGTTTTTAAAGTTGGAACAATGCCAGTTTGTTTTGGTAAGGTTTCTTTTTTTATATCATTGATAAAATTTCCTGCAAAAGCTTCAAATTTTTCACATGCATTGCTTATGGCATTTTTCTTAATGGTCGATAAATCAATATGAACTTTCATCATTTCGGTGTGTTGTATTGGCTCTATATCGTCTTTTTTAATATCAACCTGCATAAATTTGGGGTAAGAAAAATTATAAAATTTAAAAAATATGAAGAGGCAGTTTTAAAGCTTTTTAAAAATGTTGTAATTTAGAATTTAATATAAGTATTTTAGCTGGATTAAACTGAAAAGTTAAATAAACTAATATTTGAAATATAGTTCAGATGGGTTGTTTTGATACACAGAAGAAAATTATTAAAAAGACCTTTAATCATTTGATAGTTTAGAATTTTGTCGCTTAAGAAATAATTGATAATTTGAAATAATCCTATTTACTATTTTGTCAGTAGATAACTCTGAAAAAGGATTAGGTGTATTATCAAAAATAAAATTTTCTTTCACATTTTGAAATCGTGACAAATCTTTTATGTCGGGTGAACGAAAAACTTTTGAAATTCGATGCTTTCTAATAAAATCTTCGTCAAAGTTAGATGGTGACATAATAATTTCATCTACATATTTATTAGACATTAGTACAAGATATCTCTCATTTTCATTTAAAATGGGAGATACTTTCAAATATTCTTTTGCAAGACTGTCGCTTACAAGTCCCACAATGAGATAATCTCCGTTTTTCTTGGCATTCTCAATAGCTTTACAGTGTCCCGCATGGTACAAATCAAATATACCATCAATAAATACCACAGTGCCTTCTTTTTTTTTACACGGTAATTTAAAAATCTCTTTCATATTTTTATAAAATAAAGACTCTTCTGTAGACTGTTGATTTTGAACTGTTATTTTCTTTTCTTGCAAAAGTAATCTTCCAACAATTTCTGTTGTACTAATGTTTTTCGTTCGGCCGATTTCTTTAAAAAGTCCTAAGGCCTTAGTTTCTGCATAAACATCAACCCCGTTTTCATCGCAAGCAAGATCGTCACCATGTACAGCGTAATCACAATTAAATTTCTTAATAAGTTCAACACTAGGAGAATAAGGAACTTTAGAAACCACTTCATCAACCCATCTACAAGATTTAACTATCTCTTCTCGCTCTTCATCAGTAAAAACAGGAATGCCTTTATTTTTATAAATATCATCAAAAGAGTTAATTCCACATATTAAAGTACCACCTAAGCCTTTTGCTTGTCTAAGGGCATTAGCATGACCAAAGTGGAAAAGATCAAAACATCCATCGATCCATATTCTGTTTTTCATGGGCAAAAAATATTTAATAAACAAAATTAAAGAATTAATAAAAAAAATTAATAAGATAAAAGGTTTATTTAAATTTAAAATTAACTATTTTATTAATGTTTATCGATTAATTGCAAATTTTGATTAATTTTGCACCCCATTAAAAACCAATATTTTTGTAATTTTTAAATATTTTAAAAATTAATTGGGTTTAATTAATATTGATTTCCATTAAAATATAACTATTGTAATTGCAAAATAAATATATTTTGCTTAAGATTTGAAATAAAATGGTTTGTTTTATTAAAAGCGTAAATTGTAGAAAAGCATAACAATAATATCCATGCAATAAACAATTAAAAAATGTAGAAATAACTTTATATCTGTGTTAAGTAAAATTTTATCAATACATATAAAAAGTGCTTTATAATAATATTTTAATTGTTTATTGATTAGTTTTTATTGAAGAAAAATCAGTTCGTTAGATTATTTATTTAAACGCATACAAATTTTAAAGGTGTTTTAATTTCTTTAAAAATCTGTTGAATTTCAATCTTAACTACACTTAAAAGTAATAAAATTTACAAAAAAAACAAGTTACAAACAAAAATAATTATATTAATAATCAACAGCATATCTAGCAAATTTTATAAAATGTTGTAAAAAATCAGCAATATATATAAAAAGTTTGAATCTAAATATTTTTTATTTTTTAACCCTTCTTTTTTAAATATTTGTAAAATTCTTTGTATTTTTTAGTAAAAAATAGCATCATTTTGTGGTTTGTTTCTCTAAGCACGAAACGTTGTTTTTGTGCATTTTCCCTTGCTTTTATTTAGTTAAATTAATATTATATAAAGTGTCTATAGCATATTTTATTAATAATAAAAAGGGCAATTTGTAATTAAAAATAATAAAATAAGTACATACATAAGAGCACATTAAATCCATTACAAAGAAAGAACACACATTATATTTGTGATTCCGTTTTAAACGGGATAGCTAAGCTAGTACATAATAATATGTCAAAAAATGCCTCATTTAATATAAATTGATTACTTTGACAGGGAGCTAAAGTGTGAAATAAGTAAAAATTTTTGACATGTCACAAATAATATGATTAAGATATTTAAAGATTTGATATTTGAACTTCGTGTTTTAATTTATAATTGAACTTTGATATTTTATGTTTTGTGAAATCAAAATTAACTGCTGTGAGATCAAGCAGCGTTAATAAAAGCTAACGAAACAAAAAAACATATAAATAACATAAGCCAAAATTTATTTTATGGGCTAAACGCATTTCAGCATTACTTTTATTTAGTAAAAACGTTATTTAAATCAAAAAATTAAGTTGAATTTATTTACAACGATTTTGAAAAAAAGTTTTCTTCGTTGTTATCTGTTTCACTAAATTAAAATCTATTTTAATCAATATCTTCCCAAAAATACATTTATTTAACCCATACATGGGCATCACTGGCTTGCTACCAATT